AAATATTTCTCATGATTTATTTTCTAAAAACAACAAATTGAAAATAATAAATGCATTTTTTGTTTAAGTCTTCTGGAAAATTCGCTTTTGTAATAATATTTTAAGTACATATGTTGTAAGAAAATTTATGAAGTTTTTAAAAAACAATTAACACATTTGAAAAGAAATCAATAATAACCCTTTTAAACACTACAAGTACCTTTTCTTCACATAAATTCTACAAATTTTAATGTTTTTCAAAAGTCTCTAACATTATTCGATATTCATGGAGTCTTGTAATATATTTAGTAGTCGATTACAAGTTATACTGCATAGCTTCAAATTTTTTAAATTAACAGTAAAAATTATAGAACATTGAAAATTGTTTAAGGTAATTCAGCAGAAATATCGCCAACTCCCTTCTGGCAAGTCAAGGAAACCCAAACATAAAAGTGAACAGAATGGGTTGACAATCAAATATTTGAAAATTAATTTAACTTGACGAGTACATGAGATGCATAGAAGGAAAACTTTTACTGGCAAAGCTACAAATTATATGAATAATCCGTATAACTTCAATACTTACCCAGTGATATCATTAATATGGCAAGCTAAACACACATTAGATAATAACTTTGATGAGAGAAGAATCTGTTGATCACAATGAAAAGCTACAAAGTAGGCTACAAACGATTAGTTAAGCACATTTTCTAGTCTTAAGTGGAATTATATCTTCCATTTGATGTTGTTTTTCTTCCTTATACCAAAAGATCAATAAGTTATTTGACTCCTAAAGACCTGCTTAATAACTTAAAATGGAATTCAATGCAAGTTTCGAAACTAATTAATTATATACTTATGATTAATTTATCTATATCAACTACTTTTAGCTCCCACTTAACATACATGTACGTATATCCTATTAGATGACCAAACATTCTTAAAAGTGATCAGAAAGCTACTTCTTAGAAAAATAGAGCAACAAAAAACCGATAAAGCAAAATATATTTTAAGTTGCTCATTTGTTTCCCTCAAACTATGGAAATTTAGTACGAATTGTGCCATATTTTGAGTAAGCATTATCCATTGATATAATAAAACAGTAACGCAGTCCCTGTAGTTGTCTGTGTCGTTATTTCTCAGAAACTTTTGACATTTCCTAATTAGATTATGCAGCATACACACGAGCTGCGCATGCGAAACAAACTCTGGCGTGGCGAGAAGCAAGAGCTGCGAGACCAGAGCCCCACAAAAGCCGCCAAAAGGCAAAACAAACTGCAATCGCTGGCGGCCTGTTTGCTTTTCTTGGCCACGGCGGCGCCAAAATGTACAAAGTTATAAAAACAATAAGCAGGCGAAACAAAACATTTACTTTATAATTTTTAACACTTGCTAAACGGCCGGAGTGCAGAGTGTGGCCGGAGCGGGGTGTAGAAATGGGAAAATGGGATTGAAAAAAAAAAAACACGAAATAAAAAGACAAACGAAAAAGTTGTTCAACAAAGAAAGCAATAACAGCAGACAAATTCAAAAGCACACAGACACACACACACACACACACACACACACACACATAATGCGAGCTGAGGGCTGCAAATGCATGCAAAACTACTAAAAGAGCGCTTAACAAGCGGAAAGCATGGCAAGTCCCCCTCTCCCCCCCCCCCCCCCCTTCACAGCACCAAAACAATCACCATTTGGGGCAAATGCAGCCACTAGGCATAGACACTCACACACAGACACACACACACACACATTTCCGCACACACGTACACAGAAGAGGCATAACAAACACTTTACAATGCGGCGCTGGGAAAAAAATGCAAACATAGACAGAGTCAACAAAGTGGACTGGCGTTGCTGGTGCTGCTTCATGATGCATGCTGCATGCTCCATGTTGCACGCTGCATGCCGCATATTGCAGCAATGTGTGGCAGATTTTTGCGAGTCAATTGCTAAACACTCGCGTCCGAGACAAACGACAAGCTCCTCTCAACTTGATCTACTCAATTTGCTCCACAAAGCGTTTGCATCCCTTTGTGTCCTTTTTCATGTCCGTTTCATGCACTCAGCTGCACTCAGCTCCTCTCCACAAAAGTCAGGAAGCAAGCGCTGCCGACAGGTGTCTGTGGTCGTGTCGGTTCCCCATTGTCCCGCTCCCAGCTGCCCCCGAAGTGTGTGTGCGTGTGTGTGTGTGTGTGCAACCGCTAATGCGTGCTATTTAATATCAATTTGCATTTGCACTAAATCGCTGCTTATTAATTAATTTAAAAATTTAATGAAATGCAAAGCTCGTGCAAGCAACGGCCCCAATGCCGATATAACAGTAATGGACGAGTAATGTGTTTGGCATTCGCACCTCCCCCACCTCTCGGGTCCTTTGTGCGTGTACTGCGTGTTAGTTCGCCACTGCATTGATCGGACCCGCACCTGCATCATATACAAACCCTCCTCGTAGATACCATAACCGTAACCAAAACCGAAACCAAAACCAAAACCACCTCTCATTTAATTATGCGGCCTTTGTGCGCGTAATTGCCAGCAATCTAATTTAATGAGCTCAACTGCGCTCACAATTTTCCATTTATCTGCATCTCTTCTCTTCTGCACTTTTTTCTTTCCTTTGTATTTGTAAATATCTGTGCAATCGCATTGCATTTTATAAACATGTTAATATATCTTTAGAAGGCATACACGGCCGCAAACAGCACTGACCACAACTCAACGCCACAAGCTGGTAAAAAGTTGACGAGTCCGAGCCATGCGGTTACAAAACTCACAAAATGAAAGCAAACAAGGAGACACTCTCTAGAGCAGAGTTTGTTTCTTTTTGTCATCCACCAACAATATTATCACCCAGCATTTGATCTCAGATCCCAAATCCAGGCCTAAATACTAAAAGGCTGTCTAATCCTAATACTTTTTCTATTCAAACTAAGATTTAATATTGATTTTTAATGCGTGTACATAATTAATACAACAATGTGTAACCAAGCAGCTTAATTTAATTATTTTTATAATTAATTTTTTTTTTTTGTATTTACAAAACTGAAAAAATAATAGGTGATTCAGATTTGTTGAAAAAGTTGATTTTGTCTCGATTCACAACCACAAAGAGTGGCGCGCAAAAAATGTCTGACTCCAAATTTTAGATGAGATTAATAGTCCAGAAGTAGATATTTCTAAAAAGAATCCTTTGATATGTCTGTTAAGAACTTACTCACCCTTCATTTCCGACGATAATTAGTATTGCTATTATCCTTCGCGGTAAGCTAAACACTCAAAAACATTAAAGGGCGTGTGCTTATCGAGAACTTTCCTAATGTTATAAATATAAGGTCTATATTATATTATCGGTATGAATGCTGATTTCCTAATAACGACACTCAGTCCCGATTATGCACTGGGCGACCTACATGTGTTCGAAAGTACGTTAAAACTATGTGTAATATCGTTTTCACACCAGATTCCGTGCCTTAGAATACGTGTTAAGGACTTTAAATTAATTAATTATTAATAATTAATCTGCATACATAATTCAGTTTTTTAGCTGAAGCTTTAATAGCTTACATTTTGTAGAAATCAGAATTATTATTTTCTATGCACGTTCTGCCATAGATTCGAAAATAAAATGCCAATAAATATATTTTGAGAAAAAGAGGTAATTAGAGTGGTGGAAATTGTGGAACTCCAGAAGGACATGACATTTTACTGAAGGTTATCCTTGAAAGCTTTACCTGTATCATTCGATAATAAAAAATGAAACAAATAACTAATATTTCATTCATATTAATTCCTTCCTTTATATTAATTGCTACAATAACACCATGTGTCCACCTTTAACGACATTTTTTTTTAATTTCGACATCATAGTCGGCGACCCAAATTTATGGCAGATATACATATATGAGAAACCTTTACAATTTTGGATGAAGAACAAAAAAAGGAAGCCTATTTGATGAGTTTTGAGCATTCCATTGTTTTAATGGCCAGCCGGTTGCGTTAATTACTTACATTTCGTGTTTATATACAAAGTGCATTTGCTGATAAATGAAACGACCAGACCGGCACACAAAGCTCTTCATCATTCAGCGCCATCATCATTATGATCTTGATCATCGTTTCGAAGATCGTTGCGCCAAATTCACTTCCTACTTTAGCCGCTGCCCCGGCCAGTACCCAGCAGCACACACAGACCCACAATACAAGCTGCAAGAATTCCAGCGAAAATTTCACGCAGTCGATTTCAATGCAATTTTGTGTTTTTAGGCAAGAGGCAAAATATGCGAACAGTTCAATGACCCATAAAAAAAAAAAAAAAAAAAAACCAAACAAAAGCCATAGCCAAAACGACAACAAAAGCTGCCCACAGATTCTTTATTCAGCGGCGGCGCGTTGCAATTCCCTGTTAGAAGGAAAGAGGCAAAGTCAAAGAGCAGGCGAGAGAGCGAGATCGTTGCGCGCCGCAGTTCGACAGAACTCAGGCAAAGATGACGCTACATTTGCCCAAAAACCCAAAATGAAATCCAAAAACCCGAAGCGCGCGCACACACACATAGACAGTTGAGAAGCACACACACACAAGACCAAAATATCAAATAGCAAATTACTCATGCATGCGCCAAGCAGAGCCGCAGACTTGCACTGAGACAGTGGCAGAGGCAGCGGCGGTGGCGGTGGCGGTGGCGGTGGAAGCGGCATTGTTGACAGGGCCAACTTTTAAAATTGGCAATAAGCCGGCCAAGCGATCGAGGCAGCAGCCCCGAAATCGTTTGAACTCGACTGCAAGGGGCAGTCGTAAGCTGCAGCGGCGGCTTAGAACGGGTTGTGTGCATGCCTGGGGAAGGAAGTAGTGAGAAGAGAGTGAAGGTGAAGGTGATGGTGATGGTGAAGCTAAAGGCACACAAATCATTGCACGATCCCCTGCCATCATATTAAAGTCGCTGCCAAATCGGGCTAACATATGGCGCGCCCGCTGCAATTAACATAAATATTCCAACTTTTTAGTCTGGGGCAACAGCGCCCTCACAATTTATTAGATAGATACTTAGATTAAATAGATTAGATTTAATGCATCATCAAATAGATTAGGTTGATTCGAAGTGCTTATGGTACATGGATCGGAAAGTGAATTGAAATCTGTGGAAACGCATTCATAAGTCTATGACTCATTGATTACTTACAAACTTACGCATACATATGTTAGATTGAATATCTGAAAAATCAAGTTCAAACATGATTATATACGTCTGATTGTCTGCTGCGTTAGCTCATCTTTGTTGAGAAAACTACTGGAAATTTCGTCCGTAAATGTTTAATTGAAATGAGTTCATCTAAAAAGTAGATTTTATCACATCTTCGCTCATACTTATAACTAGATATCTATTGCAGTTAATTATATTCTCAGTTTATTTGGTAAGGAGGTATGCGTTTGAATGCATCCTCAGTAACTCATACAGTTTAACCATGATATGGCTGAGATATCTCCAGGTTTTCTTACAGTTTGTTGTTGTAATTTGGTTTGCAAATGGAGTGTTAGAATTACTAAAAATAAGAATATTATATACTCTTTGTTTGCTTATATCAGATATAATTTGTTACCTTAAATTAATTTTGTTTGCAAATGATGTAATCGAATGCCTGTATCTAAAACAATAATAAAAAGAGTTGAATCATTGACGAGAGGGTATCACTAGGCTGCTGCTTACCGCTTTCTATTTGTTACGATTTTTGATTTTGCCTCCCTTCAAAAGATTTCGGCGTCGCTTGCATGACTGCAGATAGCGGGCTTTCTCCACCTCGTACTGCCTGTCGTAGAACTTGCCGCTCCTCATATAGGCCGCCTTGAAACGTGTATTTTTATGTGGCATGGAGGCGAAAATGCGTCTTCTCTGTCGGTTTGACGCCAAATATTGCGATCTGCTCCATTGGGGCGCACTTCGCACCTTTATGCGATAGCCCAGCAGTATTGTGTTGTTCATCATTAGGGCACGCATCATGCTCTTGAAATCGGTTATGCCTATATAGGCAAATCCTCCGCTCGCACGTTTCGGCATTCTTATGAATTTAATTTTGTTTCCCAATGCGAAATGAGACTCCAGCTCCGCTCTGGTGGTCTTCCGATTCAGATTTGTTACATAAATAACATAGCAGCAGTGCTTCTGCTCCTTGCGCTGTGCCGATGTAGAGCTAGTTACTGGGGACTCCATCTCAGACTCCATCTCAGAGTCGCTTCCACTGGTTGAGTCACACACACTCGCCTTGCCAGACATTCTTCAAATGTTCGAAACACCAATCTGAGAATCTAAGCACTAATTATTCCTAAAAATTTTTCTTACAATGAACAAATAGGAGCACTGACTAACAATTTTAAAATAATGCTGCAAAAGCAAAATGCTTTTGAAGTATTGCACAAAGTAACCTTTATCGTAGGATTATTAAATTACAGTTTGGAAAAATATACGACTACATAGATGACTTAAAATGAAAGCCCTTCGCTATGTGTGCTTACAAGGTATACTCGTACATGAGTATACTGCAACAGGCAGAAGAAGGCGTGATGCATGTCCGTCTGTCCGTCTGTATGAACACTATTTTCTGTAGAGCCATAATAGCTAGGGACACCAAACTTGATAGGTAGGCTCTTATCATTAATTTAAATTATTTAAAATCACTCCCCCACTTGCTTTCGTATAAAAAGATATATATTTTAATAATATAAAGTCAAACCATTGGTGCAATAATCAATCATAGCAACAATAACCTTTTATTCATTACGAAACCGTAACCAAAACTGGTATTTATAGTCTTTCTTGTGTCACTATAATCTGAAGTTTTATCGCATTGAGGCTTCTTTTTGACGGACAATCGAGTCTGATATTGCAGATCACTATATTATATATGTAGTTGTGAAAGAGATGATAGAAAAAGTCTTTTTGTTTTTAAAAATATATTGGCTCCAAATTGCATATTGAGGCTGCATCACTCATGGATCGCGGCACGGAACGATATATAGTTCGCAATCCATAACTACGTTAGAACATAATTATTGCTTTGAAGGGACGAACGTTATTTATTTATACTTTCTTGCAATAAAAGTGTGCTTTTTGAGGCAATCTTTTTAATACCCCCCTTGAGTCTTCATTTTGTGTGTCTGGAATTATCCCTTCACCTCCCTTCTAACAGCCTTAGTTCTTTGTATAATTTTTTTGGCTAGATTTGATATCCTAAGCGCTTACACGCATTTGTTGTTCAATTAATATTATTACGCTAATTGTCTTCAAAAGTGAAATTGGAATGCGCCATTAGACTCGAAGCATTTGGCAATAAGCAGATTTTTAAACTAAGCAAATGAATTGCGTCGCAGCCACACATCAAAGTTCAATAGCTTGGTATGGTTCCGATTGTCTAGAAAGTGTGAATGCATGTATTGATACTTCATAGTATATAAGTGGATGTAAATATGTGTGTGTATAGACGTATGCACATATGTATTTACCTTACGATGTCAACATTTAGCGCGCGTTTTGTGCATTATATACGAATATATTGAACAAAACGTCCCAAAATAAGTTGTAGCTGTATCTTACGGCTGTGCGAGAAAGCACACAAAAAACAAACTTTTAAGTGTATATACATATAGTATAATACATGTGTGTTAATGTTATATTGCGTACCAGGAAAAACAAAGGTAAACAATAAAAAATTTCAAAAAAAAAAAAAAAAAAAAATGCAAAATAATGCACTGAACCTTGTATCCGGTTAGACTAGAATTTCGGGTATTGCATGACAATGACAACGACAGCAGCAACTAACTAAACTGGAAAAACAGTTTTTGTATAGAACGAAATATTCAACCACTTATGCATGCAAATGTCTATATAGTATGTGTGTTTTGTGTACTTTGTTGTTGCTGTTGTTGCGAAAGTGCCTTTTAAAAAACGCCTACGAAAAAATGCGCCACTGCATAGGCGACCTCAAGCTCAAGATCGAGGGTGGGGAAGAGGGTGAGGATGAAGCCGGACGGACGATCAGAAAGGCAAACCAGAACAACACTTGTATGGCTTCACACACACACACACACACACACACGCACGCACGCACACACACATGCACACGCTCGTGTGTATTTGCGACTATTTCAGTTTTGTGGCTGCAAAGTCGAAAAACAATTTTTGTGTTTTTGGCAGTCATTGACCCGCCAAGTGCCGCCGAACGAGCCGAATGCGCCGAGCAAGCTGGAGAGGAAGGGGCAGCCACAAATGGCAATGGCAATGGCAACGGCAACGGCAACAACAACGACGGCGACAGTGGCTAAGACTAAAGCTAAGGCGATGAGGAGAGGCATGCAAGGGACAGTGTAGAAAGATAGCAAACAAGTTAAACAGACAGGGAGAGAGAGAGAGACAAAGAGAGAGGAAGAGCGCCAGAGACTTGCAGGCAGAGACAACGCTCCACGCTCCAGTGCTGTGCTGTGCTGGCTGATCTCACGAAGCAGCCGACGATGCGGATGCCGATGCCGGTGCCGAAGTCGATGTCGATGTCGATGCAGTTCTGAGAGTCGTCGTCGCACTTGCCGTCTCTGCATGCATGCGAGCTTTTTGCTTAACAAACACACTCACGCACATTCTCAGTGTGTGTATGTGTGTGTGTGTGTGTGTGTGTGTGCTTACAGGGTGCTTAGACACGCGTGCTTTTTCCGTGCATTGCCATTGCCCCTTAGTTCCACATTTGGACAGCTTGAGCTTTGGCATTTTGGGCAAAAGCAAATGATTCACAACCGGCCTACAAAGCGCTTCTCTTTCTGTTCGTTTGTGTGTGCGTTTGTTTATTTGTTTGTTTAATATTTGCATGTGTGTCCGTGTGTCTGTGAGAATTGGGTGCATTGACTTGCTGGTCATCAGTGCGATCATTGCTTTTCATTGGCACATTGCTCCAGGCTAAGCCACAGCTGAATATTTTATTATTATTGTTATTATTATTATTATTATTATTATTATTATTATTATTATTATTATTATTATTATTATTATTATTATTATTATTATTATTATTATTATTATTATTATTATTATTATTATTATTATTATTATTATTATTAGCAATGTACGAAACGCATGCTGATACAATTATTATAATAAACCATTTTATTTAAGCAAAAAATATTATTTTCTTATTTTTGTTTGCTTTAAAAAAGTTCTAACAAATTCGTTTCAAAGGGACGGATAAGTTTTATTTTAATTTAATCTTAACAATTCTCCAGCTAGATTGCAGCAAATATGAATATATAAATAGACGATTATAAAAATCATTTTATAAGCACCGAGTGCTCTGAAATAAGCATGAATATGATATTTATAAAGTCCGAACTACTTTCTTTACTACCACATATTTGAAAGAGTTCTAACTAATTCGTTTCAAAGTGGATGATAAGTAGTACTTTACATTGAAAAAATTATTTCTTATCTATGAATATATAAAAAGACGGTTATAAAAATCATTTTATAAGCACCGACTGCTCTGAAGTACGCATGAATAAGAGTGGATGATAAGTTTTTTTAATTTTATCTTAACAATTCTCCAGCTAGTACTTTACATTGAAAAAAGGATTTCTTACTATTTCTTAATTTAAAAATTATTTTATAAGCACAGCGTGCTCTGAAATAAGCATGAAAATGATATTTTACCATATATATACCATATATTTAAAAGAGTTCTAACTAATTCATTTCAAAGTGGATGATCAATTTTTTTTTTTTAATTTAATCTTAACAATTCTCCAGCAAGTAATTTGGATTGATGAAAATAACTATTTCCTACAAAATAAAAAATAAAAACAAGTTTATAAAAATATTTTAATAATTACCGAGTGCTCTGAAATAAACATGAATATTTTTTTATAAAGTCTCGTCACTATATTTAAATGAAAAGTTCGCTGCAATTCTTCACTAAAACTTAAAACATTAGTTCGGGCTTCTCGACTTGAAAAAAACCTGTAAGATCTGTAAGAACTAAATAAAATCACGCTTTCATTGAACAATCCAACTACAAGGCTATGGAACCATTTTAGGAGGAAAAAAAGGAAAAACAGATTTTAACAATATATTCTGAAAAACCGTTTCCCCGCCTTTAAAATGTACCCCGATGAGTTAAGACATGGCCATTTAATTAATAAGATTTTGTACGAAATATCCATTTCAACACATCTCTATAGCTTTTTAAACCACAATAGAAATAGAATCTGTAGGTTTTCCGCTGAGGGCGATTTTATGCCAATTGCGAGTCAGAAAAATTGTCGAAACTACAAACTGCTTCGTTTAGACTAAGATGAACTTCTTCTTTACTGCTGCGTTTGTTGTTTATTTCGTTCTAGTTCCTTTAATTATGCTTTCATTAACATTACAATTATTTAATAGAAAGCGATATTTTATCATATGATGTAACGTTTCATTAACACTCAATGAAAAGGAACAATTGAATAAGTTAATAAAATCAAATCATTCGAGAATAACAAGAAGAATCGCGCTAACAGACTTATTACAATTGTAATATTCATCTATGGTTTCAGAAAACTAAATAGGCTTATAGGCATGAACCTAATAATGTACATTTTGTTTTACAAATTGTTGTTGGAGCTCTGCTGCAGCCATTTCGTTTCATTTCGCTGCCCTTCGATTTGGTTCATTGTGCCCGATAAGCAGCAAATGCACAATTGACATTATGAGAATATAAACAAACAACATTTCTGTTCATACATTCGAACACAATCATACATACTACATGCAGTGTTTTTTTTATCAAATGCATGCACGCGTGTCCGGTGGTGGTCCACTCAGAGAAGAGAGGAGTGTGGAGGAGATTTAGGCATCTCTCATTCCTTATTGCTTTGCTTGCGAAACTGATATGGCGACATTACTTCTTTTTTTCGTTCTTCTTGCAGCCGCTTATCAATTTTGTTCTAATTTACATCTTTATATGTATTATATATGTGCATGCATGAGTGTTTTGTTGACTTTCGCACATGTAACTGGCATTGAGGGCATTACCATTACCGTTGCAGCTGCCGCTATCAGTCAATATCGCTATACAAATATATAGTACTATATAACGTGCATACGCGACACCTTTTGATAGACTTTCCATGAATTGGGAACACGGAATTACTCATATTTGGTTACAAGCCAGCAGCGTACAACCATAATCATATATATTGGTATTATTACGATAAAAGGTTCTGAATTTCGTTAGCTTGAGTCACGATTCATAGGTTGTTAAGCGAAAAAGAAATCTTTAAAATAGCAGACCCATTGCGCCATAAAACAAAATCGCCATGTA